CCAAATACGACATCTGTATTACAACCAATGGATCCTGTCTCTTATACACATCTAGATGTGTATAAGAGACAGGACAAAACATAGCAACGACAGCGACGACGGCAGCGGCAGTGAGGACGGCATAGGCTTAGAATTAAGTTTGAGAATGTTTTAGAGTTAGTTCTATTCGAGCCTGAATAAAGCACACAAGTGCCTAAAAATAATTTATACAAGAATTGTCTGTAGGTTTAGTGTTAATTTCAACCGGAGTTGAATTGAATTTCAACCCGTACTGTTTACTCGTTTCTCGTTCTTATTGTGTCAGATCAGTTGAACCACAACGTTGCGGGTTTCATCCGAACTAATTTGTTTTCTTTTTTGCCATGAGTATTTGACCCAACTTGCTTATATGCTTGGTGGCGGGGCCACGCCACATATTATAGTTCAGTTAGTAGCTCTAATAGTATTTCAATTAAAAGAAATATAAATAACATTTTGTTTGTTAGGTGTAGGGTTTCTTTATTTGTTTTTCCTTAAAAATGAAGTGGGAAAAAAACTAAGGTTTGATGCTGATCCGGACACACATTTGCCAAATGCACCGCAACCCAGTTTTAATTATACAAATATTTTTAGTCCCAATTCATTCACTGAAATGGGTACAGATGATGTTGCTTATAGGGTTTTTTATAGATAGCTAGTTCCAGGGAAATAGAAAGTCAAACAAATTTATAAAAAAATAAAGAAGAAATGAAAGGAGAAAGGGGAAAGTTTTGATTTAATATTCCACTTTTAAAGTAACTTTCGTCCACAGATAAGCGCCATAGTGGGCAATAGTATACAAAATTTCAACCGAAATCCCAAAGATCGTAGATACGACAATTACAGTAGAATCCAGTTATAACGACTCCGCTTATAGTGTCCGTCCGGTTATTGCGACGAAAACTCGGTGGCTTGGTTGGTCCCCATACAAACTTATATGAAAGGGACTCCGCTTATTACGTATCCGCTTTCAGCGACTAACCGCTTATAGCGACGAAATCTTTCAGAATTCAACCAGATATAGCGACGAAATAATGCCAACAAATTTAAGCATCAAACGACGTAATTAGAAATGTATGTATTTATCAGTGATCGGCACCCTTGCTTGTGTACGTAGCAGCGACACGAAGGCTCTTACACTCTCACTACTCTCTGTCACTTTAAGCCGTCGCCTTAGCAACGCTGCTGCTAGGAGAGATAGTCGAAGTGCAATGGTGACGTCACACAAATGTTTACAGCGAGTGTGTGCAGACCACATAGGCTATTCGATAGGATGTCGCGTTATATTTCTAGTTTTTTCTGCTTTTTTCCATTTTTCCATTTTTTTGAATGTGTAAATTCGCCAAATGTGAGTTGATGCGCAAAATGCACAAAATGCGCAATAAGGAAGCCATTCAGTTTGCATTGTGCATTACACCCGCAAAATTTCTCAAAAACGAAAGTGCTTCTCTGTTGAAGAAAAAATGGAAGCCGGTGAGCACAACGTTACTCTGGCAAAAGAATTCTGCCTGAGCCACACAACAATTGCCACAATAAAAAAAAATTAAGAAAAAATTAAAACGTTATTTATTAGTAATATATTAAAGCCTAAACGCGTCAGAGCTTCAACTCAAGATCAAGTTACAGTGGTTCAAAGCATTGTTACAGTGGTTCATATTGCAACGCAGTCGAGGAATCCCATTAAGTGGTCCACTGCTTCAAGAAAAAGAAATTTTTTTCGCTAAGCAATTTAAAATTGAAAATTTTAATTGTACTGTGAGTTGGATAAGCCGCTTTAAGGTCAGGCATAATATTGTCGGCGGTACAGTCAGTGGAGAATCTTTGTCTGTATAAAAAATCGATGTTAGCGAGTGGCTTACAAAGGTTTGGCCTATCCTACGAAAATATTTCACTGATGAGGAAATTTTTAATGTCGACGAAACTGGACTATTCTACAAATTAACTCCAGACAAGACATTAAAATTTAAAGGTGAGAAGGAAAATTATTTTGAAAAAATCTGTTTATTGAAATTTTAATGTATAGGTGAAAACTGCACTATAGGGAAGCTGTCCAAGGAAAGGATAACTGTGCTTGTTGCAGCCAATATGAGTGATAATACTAAAAAGCATTTATTGGTTATTGGAAAATCCTAGATGCTTTAAAAATGTTCAGTCTTTGCCTGTTGACTACCAGAGTAGATGACATCTACAATTTTTATTAATTGGGTACGGGATTGGGATGCTGAGCTTAAAAAGCAGAAAAAGAAGATATTGCTAGTGACCTAACGAATATCACATTAGTTTTCCTTCCACCAAATACGACATCTGTATTACAACCAATGGATCAAGGCATAATTCGAGTGATTAAATCAACTTTTTGGAAAAATCTTGTTCTTAAAATAATAAGCAATATGGATGAAAACAAAGATAAAAATTACCCGAAAATAACCATACTTGATTCCATTTTAATGATAAATCATGCATGGGAACAACTTTCACCATTGACAATTGCGAATTGTTTTCAGCATTCTGGGCTTGCAGAAGAAAATTTTGATGGTTCCAGAAGCTCATGCTCAAATGGTATCGAAATCGAAGATGACATTCCTCTATCGGTTTGGRCAAGAGCTCTAAAAAATCAGCTACCGATTTCAAAGGAAGAACTGGATGAATATGTTCTTATTGACAATGGTGTGGCGACTTGTGAGGAACCYTCGGAAGACAGAATTGTTGAAAATATATTAGATGATGGACAGGATAGCGACGACAACGTGGAAGATCGAAATGGAGATGAGTCAGCACCTAGCGTTTTGGAGGCACTGAAGGCTGCAGAACTACTAAATAGATTTGTACATTCGAATTTTAATGACGAGAGTTTAACGCAGAGCAGCTCTCGTTTAAATAATGCAGTGCGCGACTGCTTTTACATGTCCAAAACGACTGCAAAACAATCAAAAATGTCTGATTATTTAAATTAAGAATTAAAAGTAAAATAAAAGAAATTAATCCAGTTATATTAAGTTTATGAATACCCGTTATATGAATACGACCTATTTTGAAAAACCAAGGTTATTGAATTAAATTTTTTGTTTTGATTTAAAAATTAATTTGTTTTATTTTAAAAGCCTATTACGAACATGGCAACCTTAAAATAAATTTAAAAAAAATGTGTTTTCTCTTTCTGGTTATTGCGTCCTCCGGGTAAAACGACGTAAAACCGTCGGTCCCTTGAAAGTTGTTATAACCGGAATCTACTGTATTTTAAACCACTGGCTTTAGGTGTACACTTCTTATCACATTTAGCTTATAGACACCTTACGTCAATCCGGATGTATCCGTTTCCGGATGAGAGGACTCTGGACGAGTTTGTTTCGGAATGGCTCTGCGATAGCAGTAGCATTAGATGTTCAGAGTTGAGAAGTCGGGGATTTAGTCCGAAAAAAAAAATTCGTGTCCACTAACGAACGATAAAATCAGAAAAGCGTGCTCAGGAAGTCATTTTCTTTTCCATTATATAAAATAGTATAGTTAAAATATTGGTGTAAGAAAAGTAAACCGCATAAATTAACTAATTTAATAAGTCAAAGTAGTACAGCGTTGGTCTACTAAGGTATTGGAAGGAAGAAACCTTTAATTGCCGATTTTCTGTTCTTGGGTTAGTAGAACGGGATTTACAATTTACTTAAACATTTTATCCCAATTCAATTTGTGTACATAATAACAATAAACCTTTCTGTTTTTAGATAAATCCAATGTTATTCTCCAGTACCATCTCACATAATATAATAGATTTATATTATGTTGTATATGGGTGATAGAGACCTACTGGAGAACCGAGCACATCACATTTAAAAACTTCACAATACTATATTGTGGTCCTATTTTATTCACACCAATGTAGATGTGATAATACTGTTAATGGTGATGATGCCAGTTGTAAAAATTCATTTTACTGACAATTGACAAATCGTTTCTCAAGTTGTATTGTTTTATACGTATGTACATATGCAAGGCAGTTTTATATATCTACATGTAAAAAAAAAACTTCTGACCGTAATATACATTTTCTTTAAACATATTGCAGTTCCATTTTTCCATTTGGTTATTTTACCAAAATATTCAAAGAATTAAGGTTTTTTTCCTATAACTGTTTTACTAAGTTTTAAAGATCTAGGTTGCCTCTACAAATGTATTAAAATAATAAAATGCACTTTAGAAAGGAAACACATATTTAAAAAAAAATCATTATTACTTGGGAGTGATTAAGCACACAACTAGAATGCAAACGCTAATAGGTGTGTGCTGACTGCTCATTTGTGCATATGTGTTTGAAGAAACAGTGGTCCAAAAACTGAAGTTATTATAATTAGAATCTGCAGAAATGTTATCAGCGCGTGAAAACAGTGTCTAAAATTTAAAAAGAAAAATTAATTCATTAATTTGGAATCAGCTGGAAATTTAACCAAAGAATATTTTCCGAAATATTTATTATACTTTTAATATTTGTCTTACAATTTACTGTAGTTATAAAGAAACTTAAAATTGTTAGGCAATTTTACAATTGTTACCCACAGTGCAAGTACCCATACATATGCGCGCTCTCATTTGTAAACAAGGAGTGGGAAAATATATTGCTTTCAATTTCCTCTCATGTTTGCCCGCGATGGTTCCCTCATCTAGCCCTCAAAAGCACTACACCAAATTACAAATTTGTATACTAATTTATGGTTTTGATATAGATTTTTACAGTTTTTCGTTTTCCAAACTTGTACTAAACATTATTTTAGTAGTTTTTTAATATTTTGTTTGATAACCATAATCTATAATAAAAAAATTAATCGTGAAATGTGTTGCTAAGCGTATAACTCAACCATGCCTAGACCAATTTGACCAATTCTCTTGTTTTAAATGTTCCTTGCAGTTCAAAGATGGTTTTTAAAATACTAAAAAATCCATTTTCTTTTTTTCATAGAAACTAATGAATGTTCGTTTGTTAGTAGCGCTAAGGCTCGAGATCGGCTGAACCAATCTTGATGAAACGGTCAGAGGTTGTTCGCTGCGGATCGGGTAAGATTTAGAAATAAAAAACCATATGCTTTCAGTGATGAAACGTCGGAAAATTGGAAAATTCCAAAAAGTAACTTTTTTTCATACACAATTTTTTTTGTTTTGTTTTCAATTATTTGAATCGTTCAAATTTGTCGTTTGTTTTCTTTATTCCGACTATTCAAAAGAAAAATTATTCAGTGAAGACGTAATGTGAGTTTCACACAAAGTGATCAATGGCAGATTAAAATTTGTTACGATGCCATGAAGAGATCGCGCTAATATCCGTCGGCGTTCTTTTTGGCAAGATACTTTGGCTGCCCAAGGCCATGACCGAGTACTCCCAGGATGCGATGACATACATACGTGCGGAATTATGGATAGCGGCCAATCAGCAAGCGATCGCCACGTTGTTACAGCACGACTTTTCAAACAACAGTTACGGAAACAACGTATATGTGGTGCTGTTAGATGTACTTTGTACAATCTTCTTTGGATGGTGGGTGGTGGTTACACCAGATCAAATTGATGAAATCATTTCTGCGGAAATTCCTGATCCAGAGAAAGATCCAGTATTATGCGAAATGGTGAAAACTAATATGGTTCATGGACCTTGCGAACAGTATTGCGAAATTCCATTACGGCTTGTATGTCTGACAATAAATGCTACAAATACTATCCACGTGCTTTTCTTCTTCTTTCCACTCTAACGGCGTCGCTCACCAGAAAACAATGGCAGAACATTCAGCATTCAATTTAGAGGAGTGAATATCGAAGTTGACAACACATGGATCGTACCATATTCGTCACTATTGTCTAATTCACATTCAAAGCTCATAACAATGTTGAATACTACAGTTTGGTGAAATCGATAAAATACGTTTGTAAGTACGTCAGCAAAGGAAGCAACATGGCGGTTATTGGTTTTGAACAATATGATCGATACGTGAACTGCAATAATAGGATATTTACTTTTGCAATACATGAACGTTTTCCGACTGTTGTGAGTCTCGCAGTGGAGAATGGATATTTACTTTTGCAATACATGAACGTTTTCCGACTGTTGTGAGTCTCGCAGTGGAGAATGGAGAATGGCCAAAGGGTGTATTTCAGCCCAGAGAATACAGTACAGGCAGTGGCAACGCCGCCAGCAACAAAATTCACATTGACGAGTTTTTTCTAAACTTTTGTCAGTGATTTGTTTGCGAGAACATTGAACCAGTAGATATCCAGGTATGTTCTCAACTAAATAAATGGTGACGACTATTGCTTCTACCTTCGGTTTCTATTGAGTTCAACGCCATACCCTTCAAATCCGCGTCAAATTTGGAAACAAAAATTACATTGCTGACCGGTTGATACTTCCGGTGGTTTGATATCAATTCCATTCACCGTTTATCAATACACGAAAGATGAACTCATCACGAATGTTTATCCGAACATTGGCCAAAGTATCGTAACTACTATTCCTCGAGAGAACGCTGATAAATACCGATGTTGTTGACTTAAACTGGAAGATTCCAAGTCAAATTCCAGGAGACTTGCGATCTTACAAATAGATCGTCTTGACAATGAAGACGACGCCGTGAATAATCCAGTAGAATTTCTAAATTCTTTGGAGAGGCTTGGTATGCCACCACATCATTTGTGTCTCAAAATTGGATTTGTCATTATTATGTTTCGCAATCTTGATGTGCCGAAACTTTGTAATGGAACCCGACTGATTATGACGCAGCTATCGAATATAAGGGAGCAGAATGCTTGATTCTACGAATTCCAACGATTTGCTATTTCAGTGCAAACGTATTCCATTTCCAGTGAAAATTGCATTTGAGATGACAATCAACAAAACACAAGGATAGTCTGTGGCATGTGTACGTGGCATAAATTTGAAAATGCTATGTTTTTAACACGGCCAGTTATACGTGGCGAGCTCACGAGTTGGAAAACCATTTTCTCTGTACATGTCCGGAATAGAAACTAAAAAATGTTATTTATCAATCTGTGTTACATTGAAACAAATATGGAAGAATCGCATATAAATGTTTTTCACACCATATAAATTCAACTTTCTTTTCATTTCAAAACACATAATTTCATGCAGGACAACGGCTGCGGGGTCATCTAGTTATCTATATTAGCTTTAAAGCGTTGTGAAAGTTGTTCTACTAATTGTTTATATCAGGTGGGCAGGGCCTGATTTGTGTTTCGGGTCATTATCCTGATAATATGTATATTTTGACTCTATGTCTGGTGATCGGCACTCTATTACAGATTATTCTTCAAAATTAGTAAGTATGAAAATGTTACCATTGTTGTCTCTATGGAAGCCAATCTGCTTATAACAGCAGCTGACATGCAGGGCCAAATTATGACGCTACCACCTTTTTGTTTCACCGTTGTTCTCAAGTTTTATTTATTGATGTAAGCATTTGGTTTTCGTCAAACATAGACCACAAACTATCCGAACTAAAAAATACAAATTTCGCTTCATCTGAAAATATAACCGAGTTTCCCTCTCCTGGTAATAGTTTTTTGAAGAATCAGAGAATCAGTTCATTTTATTTTATTTTGATAAAAGGCTTTTTCCGCGACCATTTGCTATTGCCAAGTTTGCGCAGTACTCGAAGAACACTTTCGGCATTATAGTATTGTAAGTGGTCAGTACAGCAGTCGACATTTCAAGCATCAAAATTAGACTAACACGTAACATGATAACATTTCAGAAACAAAAGAAGTCATAGAAGATTTAAAATGAGGAACGTTGCTAACGGTACCAATGTAAGTTATCTCAATACTCAACCAATCGTGATTTTCGTCTTTCTGTTTTTATTTTGTTGAATTCATGTGCAACATTCCTTCTGAATGAGTATACAATGTACTTAGCACTTATTAACTTGTTAATATGTAAAAAATAAGAAAAGAAATATACGTGTGTTTTGAAAATTATGAAATAGGAATTTTTGCAACATAGAAATTTGCGAATTTACAAACCGAGTATACGCTTTTTTGATAGCAATGCCAAATTGTGTTTGATGGATATCTTTCTTAATGTTTGAGTTATGTAATAAGATGATGGTGGTATAAGGCAAGCAGATATAAATTATATAAATTATTATTACCCTTTATTAACTGGGTAAATCAACTTTGAAGTGGGTTTTAAGTATTTTAGTTTAATTTAAATTATATATTTTGTTTTTTCAATATTATTGCATTATACCTGAAAAGGTTGCAAGAAAAATCTATGCCGTATAACTTAGTTATACAGCATCTATGCCGTATAACTTGGTTAGTCCAATGCCACTGTTAATTTAAAAGTTAAGAAGTATGTAGTGCCATGAAAATCGTATATTTTTTCTTCGGTTCTATAACGCCATCTATGCCGTATAACTTGGTTAGTCCAATGCCACTGTTAATTTAAAAGTTAACAAGTATGTAGTGCCATGTAAATCGTATATTTTTTCTTCGGTTCTATAACGCCCTCTAGTGCCATCAAGGATCTAAAATTTATTGTTTTTAGTGTATTTTTGTTTTTTTTAACAGAAAAGTTATATGATGAGTGGGCGATGCTATCGTCCGATTTCATCTATTTTTACAGTGTCAGTAGGGGTACTTAAGGGTTTCGTCCAGAGCTTATTTGATTATTTTATCTTAAAATACATATGTATATGCATTAAACCTGTTAAACAAGGGTGCCACGCCCACATATTATTTTTAATTTTTAGCCCACAATAGCCCTTTTCTACAAGCCACAATGCCTTCACGACGGAAAATATCTGACGTGTTCGTCCTAAAAACAAACTGCCTTGTTCAGAAGCAACAATCAGTATAAACAATATACTAAGTACGCATGCATAAGAAAATTAGAGTTTCTCCGCGTTATCTCTGTGTTTTGTTATTTTTGTAGTTATGTCTTTCTTTTTTTGAAGTAATAAAATCTTTAAATAATTCTTAGATGAATTTTGAACACATGCTTGTGATTAATATAACTTTCGTATTTTTCAATTATATTGACTTTAAACAAAACGAAATAAAATGTATCTTATGTCCGTCCCCTGGTTCGATTCTACCTTCCCATCAATTTTCAGTGTAACATAGTGTAACTAATACTACACTACTTTCTTTTATATACATATGGAGATAACTCGAAATTGGAAAATCTTCTCAATTCAATGCGGCGTCGTTCACGAGTCATAGTTTGAGCTAATGGAAAGCACACAAAGTACTAAAAATGTATTTCCATCACTTCTTGTTTCTTTGTACACTTTTTTTGACGCAAGAAATATAAAGTTTTTAAAGTATTATGTTCATAGCTTTTGTTATTGTAAGAATTTTGTTTTTGTTTTTCCATTAACTTGAAGAGTATTAGATACCATTTTGAAATTCTTTAAATTGTTATATCACTTCTTCTTCTTCTTTACTGGCGTAGAAACCGCTTACGCGGTTTCGTTCCTTCTTTTCATAAGGTGGTGCCAATTGGAGATTCCAAGCGAAGCCAGGTCCTTTTCCACCTGGTCCTTAAAACGAAGTGGAGGTCTTCCTCTGCTTCTCCCGGCGGGTACTGCGTCAAATACTGTTAGAGTTGGAGTGTTTTCGTTCATTCGAAACACTTGACCTAGCCAGCATACTCGCTGCTTTTTAATTCGCTAAACTCAATATCGTCGTATATCACATACAGCTCATCGTTCCATCGAATGCGATATTCGCCGTGGCCAACGCGCAAAGGGCCATGAATATTTCGCAGAACTTTTCTATCGAAAACTCGTAATGTCGACTCATCAAATGTTGTCATCTTCCATGCGTCTGCACTATACAGCAAGACGGGAATAATGAGAAACTTATGGAGTTTGGTTTTTGTACGTCTTCGAGGCTGCCGTAGTTGTTGGTTTGGTG